TCTAGGATTGAAAATCATAGATGCGAAAATGTCCATTGTGGACATCCACAGGCTTATCTGTACTTTCACTGGTTTCAGGCTTTTAACTTGGGGTCACAGGACTGAAAGTCTCCCTAACACTATGAACACATACATGAGATTTTATGTGTACACACACACACACACACACACACACACTCACACACACTGGCTTTTAAGTGAGTGCTGGCGATGGAACTCGTGTCCTCATGTTTGTTTAGCGAGCAGTTTTCTGCCTGAGCTATCTCCCCAGCCCAGCACATAGAGGTCTGTGATGAAGTTTGTTTGCATAGAGTTGGGTCTTCTCTCCCCTTGAAAACAGTGCCTGCCATTTTTCTAGCAAAATACTTTATACCTTTTATAATCTGAAAGGTTTCTTCTTTTTTTTTGGTTTTTCGAGACAGGGTTTCTCTGTATTGTTTTGGAGGCTGTCCTGGAACTCACTTGGTAGTCCAGGCTGGTCTCGAACTTACAGAGATCCCCCTGCCTCTGCCTCCCGAGTGCTAGGATTAAAGGCGTGTGCCACCAACACCTGGCTTGAAAGGTTTCTAACTATTGTTTTAGATACATTTCTTGATTGTGCTTTAAATAATCTTGGGAATCTCCTCAATGCTTTTCCTTATTCTTTATTTTACAACGGGAAGGCCTACCAACTTCTAGTTTGCATTTGATAACTGCATATTTGTATATTCCTTGTTCTCACCTCAACACTCTTCTAAATAAAAAGCAAGACATAATATCCACCAGCTAATTACCAGGGATTCCAACCTTCTTACTTTTGGAAGTATAGAAAGAGAGCATTGATGCCTACACTGAAACTGACAGCAGGGGATAGGCGTCTAGAGACAGTGGGACACAGGCACAGATAGATAAAAGCCATAAGGACAGAGAGAACAAATAGAGAAAAGATACAGAGGAACCTGTATGCATGGAAGGAGAGTCAAGAACTGAGCAGACAGGGGATGGCAGGAAAATAGACTAGCAAGGAAAAAGAAAAATGACTGTGGGAATTAGGAATACTTCTAAGACAAATGCAGCCAAGCAAAGAGAGGAAGAGACTGAAGCAGAAGATAATGGAAGAAACAGGGAAGGAGGAAGACAGAGCAATGTCCTATGCAAACACGGTGCCTCATTAATTTACCAAGCACTGGAACATGCATGACTGCAGGCAAATGGAGAACCCAACAGGGATGACCGAGGGCTGTAGGCCAGGCAGGCAGGAAGGTAGCTAGTCAGGAAAGGGAGACAGACAGACAGACAGAGAAAAGACAGAACCAAGAAGTGAGAGAGGCTAAAAGAGTTTGAAATTCAGGAACACAGGCCATTTAAGAAGCAAAATGAAAGAACAGTGTGCATTGTATGGAGAAGTCTTATTGTCTTCTCAGAAACAGACCTGGTTACTGTCCAGTCCTTGACTCTAAGACCCATGGGATGGACTAGAAGAAAGGGTAGGAGGTAGGGTGGGGGAAAGTTGTAATAAAGAACAAATGTTTTAGATAAGGAAGAAGACAAATTTCTTGCCCTTAAGTCAATAACCCAAAAGGATCCAGAATCACAGGCCTCTGAAACTTCATGTATTATAGGCTATTATAGGCCTAGGCATGGTGAGTACATGCCTACACATGATAGGCCCAGGCATGGTGAGTACATGCCTACACATGACATGGTGAGTACATGCCTACACATGACATGGTGAGTACATACCTACACATAACATGGTGAGTACATGCCTACACATGATAGGCCCAGGCATGGTGGGTGTATGCCTACACATGTATACTTGGAAGGTCCAGGAAGATCTCCCAGGCAAAGCCAGCCTGGAATACATAGTTAGACTTGTCTTCCTAAAAGCATGAAAGACAAAAATTATATAGACGTTTACCTGCATGAAAGCAGTTTATACTCTGACTGCACTTACGAAGTCCACCTGCACTGACACAGCCGATCAGTATTTCCAGTGTGGCCATGCCTTTCATAACACACACTGTAGTGAATGGACCGACAAGGGTGTGCTGTACCCAGATAACTCACCAGGTTGAATAGACAGAGAGCAGAGAGTAAGCCCTTCCTAAGCATTTTTTTGGTAGTAAAAGAAAGCAAAGAACAACCAGTCAATAAAAAAAACTATATCCGTCTCTGTCATACCTATAATCAGAGAGGGCTGGAGAGATGGCTCAGCAGTTAAAAACATTGGCTGCTCTTCCAGAGGTCCTGAGTTCAATTCCCAGGTGGCTCACAACCATCTGCAATGAGATCTAGTGCCCTCATCTGGCATGCAGGCATACATACCTGTAAGCAGAACACTGTATATGTAGTAATAAATATATAAATCTTTTTTAAAAAGTAGAATCACAAAGAGGGAAGAGTTGGAGAGCCCAGTAAAGATAGGAAGTCCTGACAAATGACAGAGTACCTAGCAAACCTGGGAGAGAGGCGAGAGACAGAAAAGAGTAACGGGAGAAGGTCTGTTAGAAGAGAGATGGGGCTCATGTGGACGCCCCTGAAGCGGCCTCTAAAAAAGGTACTACTACCTGACTGACTTTTGGAAGAGGAATTCTTGGCCTGCAAATGAGAAGGGTATATAGAAAACTTACTTTTTTTTCATTAGTTTTATTTCAAAAAAAAGCATTTATTTATTTATTTGATGTGTATGAGTAATTTTGCTGCATGTATGTATGTGTACCACATGCGTGCCTAGTGCTTTTGGTGGTCAGAAGTGGGTGCTCAATTCCTTGGAACTGGAGTTCCACAAGGGTGGTGTGAGCCACCATGTGGGTGCTGGGAACCAAACCCAAGTCCTCTGCAAGAGCAACCAGTGCTTTTGACCACTGAGCCACCTCTTCAGCCCCTAAGTTTTATTTTTTATGCATATGGGTATTTTACCTTGGTGTATGCACATCACGTGTCCAGTACCCATAGAAACCAAAAGAGGGCGTTGTATTCCCTGAAACTGGAGTTGTCTGCCACTGTATCAGTACTAGGAACCAAAATCTGGGGCCTCTGGAAGAGCAGCCAATGTTCTTAATTATTAAGTGGTTCTTAATTATTAAGCCCCTGAGACCAACTTTTTGATAGTATAGGTTCCATACTTTTAGAGTTCCATATCATGTGTATGTCTGTTTGAAAGCTGACTGGGGAAAATACCTAAAACAAACAGAAAGAAAGAAAAGCAGGCAGAGATGTGGACAGCCAGAGCCCGCTAAGCAGACAGTGGAAAGCCATGAAAACAGAGACTGGGAAGCCAACAAAGAGACTGAGGCAGGCAGACTGCCTGTGAAGGCAGCAAGGTGGAAAGATAACTACAAAGGAGACAGCAGTGGAAGAAGGCGGTAGGGAGTGCGCTATGAATGGAGATGGGACTGAGGCAAGGGAGACCGGCAGGCCTGGGGCGAGAACCAGCCCCAGTGGGTTGTTGACACCAACCTTGGAAGCCAAGGGAGGAAAAGCTGACAAGTAGGATGAAAAGACACAAACATTAAACGGTGGGAGCGCAGCGGCCAGCGAGACAGATAGGATCCAGCTGAAGGAGGTGGAGAAAAGTGATGGACTTAGCGCATGCACGCAGGAGCAGAAACACGGGAAGGTCAGGATGAGAGGCAAACCATTATGGGAAACTGTGGCAAGTCCTGGAAGAGAGACAAACCAAGAGATTCAGGCTTTAAAGTGACAGAGACAGGCAGGCGGGCAGACAGATGGCTAGAGAGAGAGAGAGAGTGGTGGGCAAACAGCCAGAGAAGCAGACAGACAACCAGGGAGAGAAAGAAGCTGCCAGCCAGTGAGGGAGGAGCAGACAGGCAGGCAGGCAGACACCATAAGAGAAGCAAGCAGGTAGAGAGACAGGCAGAAGAAGGTGAGGAGATGAATCAGAGGTCGCTAGGAAGCGAAAAGAGCAGGAGCAGGTGCTGACGGGCAGAGGGTGGCGGTGAGCAAGGAGAGGAGCAGGGCACATGGACGGAGGCCTGCTCAGGGAGGCCCACTGCCACTGCAGACACCTGCGCCTGCTGGACACGACACATGTGGCAGGCAGGCAGAGGTGCCTAGCCCAGGAGAGGGCACAAGAGACCGCTGCAACATACTGTGCAATGTGGCCCCCACGCATGCAGATACCTTTCTCAGTCTTAGGATGATGAACACACACGCACTCGGGCCACAAAAAGGGACTGGGGTACACACCACAAAGAGCCACACGTATTCACAGGCAGGAAGAGAGCGGCCAACAGAAGGAGCCAGAGATGGGGGTCACCAAAGAAATGGTGAGCCCTTAGAGTCAAAGGCATGAGAGAGACAGTCTCAGTGAGGAATAAGGCACACTTACAGAGGAGCCCAGACACAGAAAGAGGAGATACCCACCCAGACGAGTAATGAGATTGAGAGAGAGCATGGACCGGGACAATACTGGACCATAGGCAAGAGAATTCCATATTAAAAAAGAAAGAAAGAAAAAAAGACAGAAACCAATGTTCAATAAAGTGCTAGTGTGTGTGTATGCGCGCGCGCGCACGCGCGCGTGTGTGTGTGTGTGTGGTGCAGGGATTAGAATGTCAACAAACATTTTAGCATTGTAAACAAAAATTTGTAGATTATTCCTTTGTCACCAATACTTTCTTGGTTGTTGCCTACCTTCTCCTCGGGGTCCTTGTGAGCTCTGCAAAACTGAGTGGGCAGTAGAGAGATGACCCAGGAGATGTTTTCCTCAGGCCAGGGATGGGAAGTAACAGGACAGACGAAAAGAATGGGAGGGAAGCAGAGGAAGGAGAGACATGGACCGAAAGACGGTGAACCCCGGCTACCTACCCTTCTTTCTCTGCCTCGTGGCAAGTTTTATTCTAGGCTCTTCTGTCAAATCTCTGTAGGTAAAACTTACTTCTGGACTCCTTGTCAACTATCCTTCTGCCCCTGGCACAACTTTAAGATAAACACTGGGATCCAGTTGGGAATCATGGGTCAGCCAGTTCAGTGAAAAGGCCTGGCTGCCCTCCTACCTCGTTGCTTTTCCCGGTTCCTTTCGCCCACAGCCTCAGTTTCTTCTACTTTATCAGTGATGAAGGTCATGGAGGAAGACACGCACACTGAAACAGGAGAAAAGAGAAAGGAATTTCACAACCTTCAGGTTTGACGCTCTCCTCTTTATTCTAAAAGTCTGTCCTATTAACCCCCAAATTAATTTCTCAAGCCAGACGATTTTATAATAAGGCAACCGGGGGAGGGGCAGAGGGAAAGAGTAGAGGTAAAATTTACAACAATTATAAAACCCTGCAAAGGCTGGGCGAAGGAGAGAATCAAACATGGACTCCTTTGAAAAAACTCAATCATCGTATCTATTCATATCTTTCCCCCAAAAGTCACAAGGATTTCTGTCACTTTTTTTTAAGAAAGAAGAAAAAAAATCCAGTACTGCTTCTCATTTAAAAGATACGTACACAATTAAATGCATTTTGACTTCAATGAGGTATGTGGAGAGTTATATATAAACATATATTTCATCTTTTTCCTTTTCAATGCCTGAAGGGAAAAAAAAAAACCTTCACATCAAACCACTCCCTTCTGAAGTATTCAGAAAAAAAAAAAAGGCTTTTCTTTAGAGAAGGGAGGTGGGGGGAGGAACAAGACTAGTAAAGAAAAGGAAAATCCAGTCTAGTTGGACTAGTATCTAACTAGTTAACCTCTAACAATTTATGCTGATGTCAGACTGAGCATGAGTACTGATTAATGCCCCCCCAAATATTTTTATAGGGGGGGTTAAGTCACAGCAGCCATTTTTGTTTTATGCAGAAATCCTTCATGCCCCCCAACACACACACACACACACACACACACACACACACACACACACTCTCTCAATGCACAAGGAAAATGTATTAATCTGTGCACTAATCAGTTATGAAAAAGGGAGAAAATAGTGGGTTTCTGAGTAGAAGCTTGGAGATGAGATGTAACAGAGAGAAGGGGGGTGTATGAAAAATGAAATATTAAGCCAGCCATTTTGTTTTAAAAGGGGATTTTACCCCCCTCTCTCTTTCTTTATAGAGGGGGTGGCGGTGCTGGAGGGGGGGTTGTTTTAAAAATAATTTCAAGGCGGCCATCTTAGTGCCTCAGCTCTGAGAAATATTTCTGAGCGCCCCCCTCAGAATTTAAATATATTTAAAGCAACCGAGGGGGGTAGAGAGAAGTCGAAAACTTTTATATACATATATATAATTTTTTTAAAAAACGATCTCCCTTTCTTGTTCTCTTGGGAGGAAAGAGAGAAGGGGAAAAAAGTCCTTAAATTTTTCCAAGAACATTTTTGGGGGTGGTGCGGCCCCCCTCCTCAGACGCCGGCCCCGGGGGTGGGTGTTCTGGAGGGGGGTGGCCCGGGGGCTTGGGGGGCTGGGGGAGGCGGTGAGGAGGAGGAGGAGGACGCCGCCGCCGAGGAGGAGGAGGAGGAGGTGGTGGTGGTAGCGGTGGGGGAGGCGGGCGGGCGGTGGGTGGGGGGGTGGTGGGGGGGCCAGAGCCACAGGATGGCTTCCCCTCTGAGGGACGAGGAGGAGGAGGAGGAGGAGATGGTGGTGTCGGAGGAGGAAGAAGAGGAGGAAGAAGAGGGCGACGAGGAGGAGGAGGAGGTGGAGGCGGCCGACGAGGACGATGAGGAGGAGGACGAAGAGGGAGTACTCGGGCGCGGGCCGGGCCACGACCGGGGCCGCGACCGCCACAGCCCCCCCAGCTGCCACCTCTTCCCGCCGCCGCCGCCGCCGCTGCCGCCGCCGCCGCCGCCCCCGCCGCCAGGTAAGCGTCCGCCCGACTCCCCGGGCCCGAGCGGAGCCGCGGGGCCGGGCATCTACGGTGCGGCCGAGCCGAGGCGAGTCCCGGGCCCCTGGCCGGTCCACACGGGCCCCGCGGTCCGGGCGGCGGCGGCCTTGGGGCCAGGCCTCCTCCCCTCCTCCGCGGCACCCCTCCCCCGCCGCTACCGCGGTCGCCGCCGCCGCCCGGGCTGGAGAGCGCTGGGAGCGAGCTGCGCGCGCGGACCGGGCCACTTGGTCGCGGCTTTCGGGGGAGGAGATTTTTTTTTCACCCTCGGCGGGGAGGGGGCAGGCAGGAAACGGCCGTGGCGAAGCCAGGGCCCCCTCCCAGGCCGAGCGAGGGACCGCCGAGACCCCGGCGACCGGACGGCGGCGTGGGGGGAGGGGCGCGTGGGGGAGGGGCGGCCGCGTGAGCGCCCCTCGGGCTCGGCCCCGGAGGGGTCGAACTGAAGCCGAGTGGGGTTCCGTGTGTGGAGCCGACGGCCACCCACCGCCCTCCGCTCGGGACTTGGGCAGGCAGAGGTGGGACGGTGGCCCGCGGACCAGCCCCCTCCACCTGCAGGGACTTCGGTGCCCGCCAACTCAGGGGCGTGCGGTGGCACGCGGGGGAGGGGGCGTGTGAATGTTTATAGCGGCGGATGACTGGGGGCAGGTGGTGGCCACACTCCACGCAGACCACTTCCTGGAGTAAGACTGGGACCTGCCCTCCACTACCCCCAGCTGGCCGTCGAGATCTCGGGTCACTCAGATTAGGGGGAGACGGGAGAGTGTCTGGGGAGCCAGATGCCCCGGCCCCACCCTCGTCATCTCTGCCCCGGGCTCTTTTGTGTCAAGTGCAGCCCCCTCCCCCCTCGTGACCCCGTCAGTCTGGGGTGGCCGCACTGCCCAGCTGTGACTCTCACGTGGCTGCCATTCACTGTCACTCCTTTGATGAAACCACCCAGACACCCTGACCACGTTGGGGGGCGTGAACTGCCCACCCAGCTGCTCTGTGCCTGACCGTCACTCAGCACCCTTCTCGGAGATGACAAGTCATCTGGCACTCTGAGCAGCACGTCCAGCTGAGCTGGGGACAGACCCTTATCTGGCGTCAGACGTCCAGCGCCCCCCACCCCGCCCCGACCACCCTCCTAGTGGAGCGATTTCTTCTTTAGGATAGGTGTCCGCAATCTCCACACCCCCAAGTGTCTGGCGGCAGCGCAGCACAGACGCACCAAACTTGAAAACGTTATTTGTAGAACTATCCTATTGACCAGTGTGACTTTATGTCGCACATGTTGAGACAGCCTTTGGAGAGGGGGGTACATGTGTTTAATGCTTTACTGGGTAAAGCCTATTTTCCCTGCTAGGCTTACCCAAAAAAGGGGGAAAGTTTAGAAAAGTTATTCCACCGAGCCCGCAGAACTCGCTTGGAGGTGTACTGTGTGTGTGTGTGGGGGGGGGGATTAAAAGATCTTGGGGAGAGGGCTGCCCGCAGGGCTGCCTGCGGCTAGCTGTGGGAAAGAGGCTCGTCAGGTGAGTTAGAGGATCCGTACTCCCGCCTAACTGTTCTGAACTCGGGGTCTGCTTTGATCCCAGGAACTGGGTGCCTGGCCGAGAGGAGAATGAACGAGTCTAAGGTCGACACGGGTCTTTGTGTGCAGCCTCCCTCCCCCCTTCTTTGCTTTCTGAATCCTTGAGAAGCGTCAATGCTTTTAAATTTTCATATTTGAAATCAAATCTCACCTCCCTTGTCTCCCCGGGCAAGTTCATCCCCCTTCCAGCCCTCCAAGTCAAATAAGTGACCCAGATACACCCCCTCAGATGACTTTCTGAGGTAAAACTTTCGAAAAATATTTTTAGCGTACTCATTATCCGTCTACCTAAGTGTGGGGAAAACAAATCTCCTCTCAAGAGCTCTGTTCAGGCTGCCCGCCCTCGTCTCTTTCTGGAATATGAATTTGTACTCATGAGAGCCTTCCATTGTTTTTCAGTGCGACTGCTCTGATTCTCACCATTTTGTTTTACATTCTTACCCAAGACCAATTTTTATCCCTTCCCCCTCGCTCCAGTCTCCTTACATTGTTAAACGTTTAAAATAATAGCATTCGTGTTGGTGGGGGAAGGGAGCAGGAAGCTAAAGAAAAACCTCATTTCTTCTCCCTCCCCCTTCTGGCAAGTCTAGAGAAATAATATAACATAATATATAGATGTGATTCCTTAGGGGGTGGGGATGGGGGTGGGGAAATGATTGTGGGTGGTGCGGAAAATTCTGGTAGTTTCTTTGCAAAAGGTCTGAAAATACAAACCCACCTCCTGCATCCAGTACGCATGTGCGGCAGACCTATTATGGAGGTTCGTTGTGGGGGAGGGAGGGGAATTTGAGAAAAAAATAAATATAAGTGCGAGAGATTGATGGCGAGATTAGGAGAGAGGGGCGGGAGGACGGCTCTCGCCCAGGCTCCTCCCACAGGCCCTCCTGCCAGACTCCGCCCTCGCCCTCCCCACCTTCCCGAGAGAGCCGGGATGTGGGAGAGTCTGGGCTCGCGGCCAGCTTTGAGAGGCTGCTGAGACAGAGGTTAGGGCTTAGATTTGCTTTATTACCCTCCCTTGCCTCTCCTCGCCATTCTTCCCCGCTGCTGGCCACCGACGTCTGCCTAAAATCGAGAACCTCCTGCCGGGCTAAAATCGAGAACCTCCTGCTGGGCCGGGTGGGAGTGGAGTTCACAGGGTTTCTTGGCCCACACACCCATGGTGACCCCGGCGGGCCACTTGCCTGATCCTTAGCCAGTTGGCGTAGCCTGGCCTGCCCTTGCCACTTGCCCCGCGGTCTTCGTTTCCATGTTCGTGTTAACCCAAGTCCCTAGAGTTAAGGGGAGCCAGCTGCTGGGCATGACGTCTGACTTCCTATTAGAGCCCGGGATCGTTTTTTCACGCACTGCCTCTGGGCAGGCAGCCTCTGCATGCCTATACGCCGCCGTGTTAGAGAGTCTTTGCTCACAGGGACACGGGATTGTGGAGGTAGAAAAAGGTAGCATCAGATCGGAAAACCAGGCCTGGGGTGTTAATTGTGGCTAATTTTCCCTTGGCTGTTGAGGGAGGGAGGATTGTGTGTCCTAGAGCAAGAGGCTGGGCCAAGCCCTGGCTTTCCCCTCTGGCTGCAGCTGCCTCTACTTGGCCGGAGACGGGTCTGGCTGGTTAGTCTAGTGATTGGTAGGGGTGGAAGGTGATCCAGGGCCCCATTTCTGTGAGGCATCAGTTTGGCGTAAGAGCTTAGTTGGCAGGAAACAGCTCTGGTCCCCAAAGCTCTGGTCCCCAAACTTCAGCAGACCGGTAGGGTTCAGGGAGAATGGAGGGTTATCAGGGAAGAACCTGTCCTGAGTTCTCTGACAGAGCCTTCTGGGGAGAGAGTCAGGGACATCAGGCTCACCCGTGTGTGTGTGTGTGTGTGTGTGTGTGTGTGTGTGTGTGTGTGTGTGAATTTGAGACTGACTGCATATGTCTCGTGTGTCTGTGATTATATCCTGTTTGTGTCCCTGTAAAGCGTGTGTGTGCGTGCGCGCGCGCGTGTGTGTGTGTGTGTGTGTGTGTGTGTGTGTGTGTGTGAGCTTGTGTGGGAAAAATACAGAGGTGAAAGGTAAGGCTATGGGATAAAGGTACAGCCTCTGGGGATAGATTTAGAGGCAGACTGCAGTCCTCTGGGAGGGCTGCTGAGGGAATTGCACAGACTTCCTTTTGCTGAGCTAGGATGTGAAGGGGCAGACACTGGTCCTGTGGGCAAGAGGGCAGCTGGGAATTTCTTTTGCTCCAGTCTGTGTTGGAGTGATTATCCAAGAAAATGTAAACAGAGGCCTCTCTCTTGGTGAAAAGGATGTCAGAGCCCCAGGGTGTTAGTGTGAGAACCCGGGTGTCCACCTTTGGCTCTCCCTTCTCAGCATCTGGCTTAGGGAGCTGCCAGCTTGTGTCTCCCTACTCCAAGTGCTGGGGTCAGGCCAGGCCAGCAGCTGGGCATGGCTTCCCCGCTTCCTGGGCAAGTTGCCAGCTGGCAAAGTGAGGGGGAAGGCAGGAGGAGCCCTGGCGAGGGCTGAAAGGACCTGCCACAGTCTGAGCCGGTGGCTAGAGTCTGGTCTCTTGTTAGTAGGAGGGGAGAAAAGGGAGTGGCTTGGCTACTCTTCCTTTCTGACCCTTGACCTCCCATTCAGAACCAGAGGATCCCAGAGTACTAGAAATACTCAGTTTGCATCCGTTGAAGGGCAGTGAAATTTAGAGGAATTAATGCCTGGGTTCCTAGAGAGTACGACTGAGTCGGGAAGAAAGGGGACAAGGAAGAACCTCAGGGGTTTTCTGGTGCTCTTCTCTCCAAAGATAAAGATGATATCCGGCTGCTGCCTTCAGCATTGGGTGTGAAGAAGAGAAAGCGAGGACCCAAAAAGCAGAAGGAAAACAAGCCAGGCAAGCCCCGGAAACGCAAGAAGCTTGTGAGTACCAAGGGTCCCTAGTGCTGTAGCAAGGCTCAGAGGTCCACTTCCCAGAGACTACAAGTCCCCTGCCCTGGTTACTTGTGTAGAGGTGCTGCTTATGTCAAGAGGCTCTACTCTCTCTACTCTTTCCTGTATCCCTTCTGTGTCCCTTGGACCTGGAATCCTAACCTCACTTTCTCCAGGCTGGTAAAGAGTCCAGATGTCACTGTAACTTGTCCTATAATCTGAGAGAAGCAGTTGAGAGCGCACTGGCTTGCTGAGGGTGTAGTTCAGTGGTAAAGAGCTTGCCTCACATGTTTGAGCCCCAGGGTTAGTTCTCAATACAGAAGGAAGAAGAAAACCACAGTTTTGGAAGAAGACTGCATAAATTCAGAACCTGGAAGTCCTCTGTCTTCTTGGGCAGTGTAGTTAGCTCCCTGTGCCTCAATTTCTTCTGTAAAATAAGTGAATAAATATAGGTCAATTACTGTTTCATAGAATAGTTGTAAAGATGGAAAGAGATATAATATGTTTCGTGCTAAGAACAGTTCTTGGCACGTGGTAAGAATGAATAAATGTTATTTTCTATTTCTCTTCCTTAGGACAGTGAAGAGGAATTTGGCTCAGAGCGAGATGAGTACCGGGAGAAGTCAGAGAGTGGAGGCAGCGAGTATGGAACTGGACCTGGTCGGAAACGGAGAAGGAAGCACCGAGAAAAAAAAGGAGAAAAAGACAAAGAGGAGGAAAAGGGGAGAAGGAGAGGGGGGGGCAGAAGGTGAGTAGGACTGGGGAGTAAGAGTGAGGAGTCAGCAGCAGAGATGGGCATGGGGTGGGGAGCGTGGGGACTGGACTGCAGAGGGAGCAGGGGTGAGTGGGTGCCTGGGAGAGGAGCCAGCGAGCCCCACCCTACCATGCTGTCCCCACAGCAGGTGGAACAGAAGTCATCAGCTGCCCTGCTTCTGACCTGGGGCTTAGAGGATGTGGAGCATGTGTTCTCCGAGGAGGACTATCACACGCTTACCAACTATAAAGCCTTCAGCCAGTTCATGAGGTACGGTAGAACTGGGAATCCTCTCAGACAAATAGCTAATATTGCAGTGTGGGCTGGGCCTGAGGGAGGAGCTTTATATACAAGTTTACAGCACAATGGAAAAACCCCAGGTAGAAGAGATCGTTGTTTTCCTCCTGCTGAATGTTGATGTCAGAGGGTCAAGGCCGGGGCAGTAAGCCAGGACTAGAAAACAGAAAGCACTTGGACTGGAAAACAAGTTACAGTTGTAGGCTGACCAACAACTCACAGAGACCCCATGGGGCTGGGGCCCAACAAAAATCTAAGAAAATGCTTCTCTAAGAAAATCATGGCATGTGGCTGGAGGGATGGTTCAGCAGTTAAGAGCACTGACTGGTCTTGCAGCGGACCTGGGTTCAGATCCCAGCACCCACATGGCAGCACAACTGTCTATAATGACATCTGATGCCCTCATGTGGCATGCAGACAGAACCCTGTATATATAATAAATAAATACGTCTTTTTAAAAAGTCATGCCAGGCGTTGGTGGCGCACACCTTTAATCCCAGCACTTAGGAGGCAGAGGCAGGCAGATCTCTGTGAGTTCGTGACAAGCCTGGTCTACAGAGTGAGTTCCAGGACAGTCTCCAGAACAATATAGAGAAACCCTGCCTCGAAAAAAAAAAAAAGTCATGGCATGTGCACACAAAATTTTGCACATAATTTCAACCTACTCTTAGTTTGGGATCAGTCAATCCCAACTAAGAGTCCATTTTTCCCTAACGTTCTGGGGCAGAGGTCATGAGTCTCACACTACATTAGAGAACTTTCCATAACTAGGAGATAATGAGGAAAGGGAGGACTGTGTCTTCTTTTGCTCCAGCAGTTCTGTTTCCCTCTCTGTGACTGGACTAGACCTGGGTGACATCGTTGTCTGAGAGTTTTCATTTCAAGTCTTCACAACCTTCTTAAGTCCTGGGAACAACACATCATGTATTCATAGCAGCAGGACATGAGCTATAGAGGCTTATTCTGAGGTTTACACAGCAGTTTCATGCCCTGGCGTCATCTTGGGCAAGCTACTTAATTTCTTTGGTGCTAAGTTTCCTTGTTTGTAACTTAGAAATACTGCATACTTTGTAGGAGCTTGTGTGAATTTGGTGGGAAATTTAATGCATAGCTCAGTACGATTGGTACCTAGACTAACCGGTAGCTGTCCTTAGTGGTGTCTTACTTATACCCCTGCTAAAGACAGTATGTTTGTCTACATTGAGAGTCACAGGTGTCTTCATAGGCACTTTGCACACACACCCTGGAGGAAAATGCAACGTCTATCTCTTTCAGACTGTCCCAAGGGAAACTTTCTTCAGGTTCAATAAAATGCAGAGATATCAAAGCAAGCATGCCATTGTGAGGATAATGCTCAACAGGATATATTTCCCTTCTATCTTCTTTTTGTTTAATTTATTACTTAAATTAATATTTTCCTTTATAGGACATATTGCCCTCACCCAGGATAGTTAGTATAGACTTAATTGATACAGGGAGATGGCAGTATTCTCAGACCATCTGTGAAACGTCTGGGTTTTCTGCTTCTGTATTTTCAGACCCCTGATTGCTAAGAAGAATCCTAAGATCCCGATGTCGAAGATGATGACCATCCTGGGGGCCAAGTGGAGAGAGTTCAGCGCCAATAACCCCTTCAAAGGGTCAGCAGCTGCTGTGGCGGCGGCAGCAGCGGCGGCGGCAGCAGCTGTAGCCGAGCAGGTGTCAGCTGCTGTCTCCCCAGCCACCCCCATAGCGCCATCTGGACCCCCCCCTGCCCTTCCACCACCCCCTGCTCCTGAAATCCAGCCCCCACCCATCAGAAGAGCCAAAACCAAAGAGGGCAAAGGTAGGAACCCTCTTCTTCCAACCTCTGTTTCCCTGCTTTCCAAACTGCATGGCTTCATGATTCTGTAACTCATGCCCTCCCAGCCTTGATTGCTGGGGGAGAAATGCTTCCCATGGAGGGGGAGTGAGTAAAGCTGTAGCCCATGGTACAGGCCAGAGTTCCCTGTGACTCTTGTTCTTCCAGGATGTGTCATGGCCTATGGATTTTCTCCCCTCCCTCCTATTCTCATTCAGGTCCAGGCCACAAGAGACGGAATAAGAGCCCCCGAGTGCCTGATGGACGCAAGAAGCTTCGAGGAAAGAAGATGGCTCCACTCAAAATCAAGCTGGGGCTGCTGGGTAGCAAGAGGAAGAAGGCAGGCTCGGTGAGTGGCTCTTCCCTGTCTGCTAAACATCCGGGTGTCAAGGACTGAAACCCATGGAGAGTCCACGGGGGAGGCTAGGGTTGGGAAGCCACAGTCTAGGGATGGAGGAGGGTGGTAGGTAGAATGTCTCACTGATGGCAACAGGGCTATGGGCAGTATGCTCTTCAGGGTGATGAGGGCCCCGATCCAGAAGCTGAGGAGTCAGACCTGGACAGTGGAAGCATCCATAGTGCCTCAGGCCGGCCTGATGGCCCTGTCCGTGCCAAGAAACTGAAGCGAGGTCGGCCAGGGAGGAAAAAGAAGAAGGGTAAGGCTGCCATGTGTGAGCCTCTGTCTGCCCTCTTCTTCCTTTGCTGTCTTTCTTGAGATTTTGACTTCTCTGTTCAACCTGTCCCTCTGTCTCCCCTGAACCCCTTTCCTTCTCTTTCTGTCCCCTTTGCCTTGGCTGGGGTATATGACAGTCCTGGGCTGTCCTGCAGCAGCCGGGGAGGAGGAGGCCGATGGCTATGAGACGGACCACCAGGATTACTGTGAGGTGTGCCAGCAGGGTGGGGAAATTATTCTGTGCGACACCTGCCCTCGTGCCTACCACCTCGTCTGCCTTGACCCTGAGCTTGACCGGGCTCCTGAGGGCAAATGGAGCTGCCCCCACTGTGTGAGTACCTGGTGCCCTCAGGGTCCCGCCCGTCTCTTGTCTTCTATTAGGGTCTTCTGGGTTTCTCAGCAGTAGCTACACAGGGTTCCTGAACCCTAGTTGGGTTCTTTCATTGAGCTTTGTCCCCAGAGTCAGTGTCTTTGGGAAATGGGGATATCCTGTTTGGTAGGTCCCATAAGACTTCTCTCTCTCTCTCTCTCTCTCTCTCTCTCTCTCTCTCTCTCTCTCTCTCTCTCTCTCTCTCCCTCTTGGATCCCAGGAGAAGGAAGGAGTACAGTGGGAGGCCAAGGAAGAGGAGGAAGAGTATGAGGAGGAGGGAGAGGAAGGCGAGAAGGAGGAAGAGGATGACCACATGGAGTATTGCCGAGTGTGCAAGGACGGTGGGGAGCTCCTGTGCTGTGACGCTTGCATCTCCTCCTACCACATCCACTGTCTGAACCCCCCACTGCCTGACATTCCCAACGGAGAATGGCTGTGCCCACGATGCACGGTAATGGACCACATCCTCACACAACTCACCGTCCAGCCCCAGCTTCACCCATTCTGGCGCAAAGGCCCAGCCCTTCCTTTCTCAGCCCCCACCCTTTGTTGTTTTTTGTCCTACCTAACAAGGGGCTCTCTTTGTCTCTTTCCTTCCTCTTCTCTTATGTGTCCACCCTGAAGTGTCCTGTGCTAAAGGGCCGTGTTCAGAAGATCTTGCATTGGCGATGGGGGGAGCCACCTGTGGCAGTGCCAGCACCCCAACAGGCAGACGGGAATCCAGATGTCCCACCCCCTCGTCCTCTTCAAGGCAGATCAGAGCGAGAGTTCTTTGTCAAGTGGGTGGGACTGTCCTACTGGCACTGCTCCTGGGCCAAGGAGCTTCAGGTACAGAGACTATTGCTTTTCCTACCCCCTAGGATCCTGCTCTCAGTCACTTGCTCTCTCCTGCCTCTGTTCTCCGGGCTTCTATCTCCTTTCCCCCTCTTTCTGGGCCTGAGGCCTCACATTCTTCCTACTTCAGTTTCTACCTGTGGTGCTCACTTCATTTCTGTTAGTTTTTCCTTGTCACCATCTACCTTTTTATTCTTTATCTATCTCCACTGTCTTAATCACCCCTTGTCTTGCCTCTTACGTTCCTTAACTGCTCTCCCAGGCCAGGTCTCCCAACTCTGTCCTATCAGTTTTATTTATTTTTCACTGTTGTTTTTATTACTATTATTTGTTTTTTATTCACTCACTTTCTTCTTTGTTTTTGTTTGTTTTTTTGAGAAAGGGTTTCTCTATGTAGCTTTGGAGGCTGTCCTGGAACTCCCTCTGTAGACCGGCTGGTCTCAAACTCACAGAGATCCACCTGCCTCTGCCTCCGGAGTGCTGGGACTAAAAGCGTGTGCCACCACCACCCAGCCTATTCACTCACTTTCAAAGATCCCTTATCTACAACTCACAGGGCTAGCCTCTTCTCTGCTGCCCTTTGTCTCTGGATTTGAATGCTGTCTCTTCTCTTTCCCTCTCTGCTTTATCAGCTGGAAATCTTCCACTTGGTAATGTATCGCAACTACCAACGGAAAAATGACATGGACGAGCCCCCACCCCTGGACTATGGCTCTGGTGAGGATGACGGGAAGAGTGACAAGCGCAAGGTGAAGGACCCTCACTATGCTGAGATGGAGGAAAAGTACTACCGTTTTGGTATCAAGCCAGAGTGGATGACTGTCCACCGTATCATCAGCCACAGGTAAGTCCTTGGTCTGTGGAAAGGCCTTCCCTGGGCTGTGACACTGCTTTTACTGCAGTGACGACCCTGCATAA